TGGTGAAAGAGGTGTGTTAAAGTCACCCTGAATCATTGTATTGTGGTCTATTTGACTCTTGAACTTGAGTTTGATTGATGAACGTAGATGCTCCATTATTTGCGGCATATATATTTATAACTGTTATGTCTTGTTGATGTATGGTTCCCTTAAGCAGTATAAATATCCATCTTGATCTCTTTTGAGTAACTTTGGCTTGAAGTCTACTTTATTTGATATGAGGATGGAAACCCCTGCTTATTTACACAGACCATGTGAATGGTATATTTTATCTCAACCTTTTACCTTTAGTCTGTTTATGTCTTTTCCTATGAGATGAGTCTCTTGAAGGCAGCATTTTGTTGTTGTTTTTTTAAAATCAAATCTACCAGTCTATATCTTTTGATTGGTGAGTTTAGGCCATTAACATTCAGGGTTATTATTGGGACATGATTTATATTTCTGGTCATTTTTGTTTATTTTTGGTATTTAACTTGACTTGGTTTCTCCTTTGGTTGACTTTTCATTTATTGTAGTTCTTCCCTTTTGTAGATTTTCATTATTATTTTTCATTTCCTTCTCATGGAATGTTCTGTAGTGCAGGATTTCTTGCAGTACACTCTTTTAGCTATGTTTATCATGGAAGGTTTTAATTTCATCATCAAATCTGAAGCTTAATTTTGCTGGATATAACATTCTTGGTTGCCACCCATTATCTTTTAGAGTTTGGTATATGTTGTTCTAGGATCTCCTGGCTTTGAGGTTCTGAGTTAAAAAATTTGCTGAGATCCGAATTCATCTTCCCATATAAGGGAAGACGAATTCCCTCATATGGGAAGACGAATTAGGATCTCAGCAGATTTTTTTTTTTCTCTTGCGGTCTTCAAAATTCTATCCTAATTCTGTATGCTAGGCATTTCATTATAATGTGTCTTGGAGTAGATCTGTTGTAATTTTGTACATTTGGTGCTCTATAGGCCTCTTGCATTTGATTTTCCAATTCATTCTTCATGCTTGGGAAATTTTCTGGTATTATTTCATTGAAGAAATTGTGCATTCCGTTGGTTTGAATCTCTGAACCTTCCACTATCCCAATAAATTTTAAATTTGGTTTTTTGATGGTATCCCATAATTCTTGGATATTCTCTTCATGGTTTCCCTATTGTTTCTTTCACTTCAATGATTTCTGTGTTTTTTTTCTTTTTTTAAGAATCTCTATCTCTTTCTTGAAGTTACCTCTTGCTACCTATATTTGCTCTCTTATCTCTTTGTTGGAGTGATCAATTTTTGCCTGTATCTGCTCTTTTAGGTGGTTCTTTAATTCCCAAATCTTTTGAGTTATGTATATTCTGAACTCCTTCTCTATCTATGGATTCTATTGCTGAAGTATCTTGGTTTGTTTGGGGCACTTTTCTCATTTGTTTTTCATGATGTCTATGTGTCTTTCTCTGTTGCAGTGTAGATCCAAGATATGACAGCTTCTGCCCTATTGTCTTATAGTGTTCCTACAGGTTACCAATACTTCACCTTTAAGTGGGAGATCAGTATTATAGCATCCAATGTACCCAATTTGCAGCCATAGATCAGTTAGCTTCTATTTTTACACTTACAGTTTTATCACTATAATCAGAAATGATGAGTTCAGGTGTCTTCTACCATACAGTCAATAGGTCTGTGTAATGGTTTGCAGTTTCTAATGGTAGAAGGGGGTTTTGAGGGTTTGGCTGAGATGTTTATGAGGTAGGATGTGAGACTATAGAAAATTAGATTATATGACTAGTGAGAGAGTAATCATGAGAAGTTGGTTGTTAGTAGGAGAAATAAGAGAGAGGCAACCCCACGCAAGACTCCGTGCAACAGGATAACTGTTAGCACCCCTAGTAAAGATACCTCTGCTGCAGCCAGACCCTCAGGGACCTTGGTGACGTCTTACCAGATCCTTATTGTTGTCCCTTGATAGAAGCAGCAATATTCTAGTTTCATGGCAGCGACAGCCTCAAGCCTATATGTACCCTGATGTTGGGCAGTGGAGCCACACTTTGGTGAATCAGGAACCCCAACACAGGGCAGGGTGCCTCCCCATGCAGGTGCTGGGGCAGGCCTCTCTCTGGGTCTTAAATGTTATTTTTAGTTGTAGTTGGACATTTATTTATTTATTTTTATGCGGTGCTGAGGATCAAACCCAGTACCTCGCACGTGCTAGATGAGCGCTCAGTCCAGGATTTTATTCTTTTTAAAGCCTGCATAATATTCCATTGCAATGTTTATACCACTTTCTTTATCCATTTTTTTTTATTGATGGACACTTAGGTTGACCCCATATGTTGGCTATTGTGAACAATGCTGCAATGAACAGTATCTCTTTGACATACTGATGAAATGAAATATCCAGTAGTGGGATTGCTGATTCACATGGTAGTTCTATTTTCTGTTTTTTGAGGAACCTCCATAATATTCTCCATAGCAACTATACCATTTTGCATTTCCAATAAAAGTACACAAGATTCAAATTTCTTTATGTCCTGGACATTTGTTTTCTTTTTATAACAGCCATCCTGATGGGTGTGAGGTGATATCTCATTGTGGTTTAAATTTCATTTCTGGTTAGTGATACTTAACCTTGTTTTTCATATACTTTTTGGCTATTTGTATGTCTTCTGTGGAGAAATGACTATTCTAAATCTTTGCCCATTTTAAAGCCATTTTAAATCTTCTTTTTTCTTTGACTTATTTTTACTTCCTTGTATGTAGTCAGTGTGCTATATATACCATGCTTTATATACATGATTACATGCATTATATTTATAAATATATGATGGTAGTTCCCTACTATTATAATGGAGCTGAAAAATTCCTATTACTTAGTGAATATGCAGCTGAAAAGAGAGGTAGGAGATAAGAAATTGCAGGAGACGAAAAGAACCACCTCTATGAAAATTCACAGCAAAGGGGGAAGTATTTGCAGACCTCAATAAGCTTCTGAAAAAGTTTGAAAACATGGATCCAAACCCCCAAAGGTTTACGATAATAAATATGGGTCTTCATGGTGCATTATATTACTTTGGCTACTTTGTGTCTTTTGTGGTTCCATATGAATTTTAAGATATTTTTCCTATCTCAAAAAAAAAAAATCCATTAGAATTTCAATAGGGATTACATTGAATCTACAAATCGCTTTGGGTAGTATGGACATCTCAGCAATATTCATTCTCCCAGTTCATGAACATGAGGTATCTATCTATTTGTCCCATCTCTAGTTTCTTTCATCAGTGTTTTGTAGTTTTCAGTGTAAAGTTTTTTCACTCCCTTGGTTAAATTTATTTCTAAGTACTTTCGGAGGGCAGATATTGTAAATGGGATTATTTATTTCTTTTCACGTAGTTTGTTGTAAGTGCATATAGAAACACTACTGATTTTTGTATGTTGATTTTTGTATCCTGAAATTTTACCAAATTTGTTCATTACTTCTTAGATTTTTGGTGAAGTCTTTAGTGTTTTCTATGTATAAGATCATGTTCCTAGCAACAGTGACAATTTAACTTCTTCCTTTCCAGTTTGTAATTTCTTTCTCTTAAAAATAACTGCTCTCGCTAGAACTTCCAGTATTATTTTGAATAGAAGGGGTTCAAGTGGGCATCCTTGTATTGTTTCTGATGGGCACCAATGTTTTAATAAGCACGTGGGTGTTGTCATTTCTCTGTGGGCTATACTTTGATAATAAGGATTAGACAGACCCTAGCTTGCCTTTTGGTGAATCATTTGGAACCAATCTAAGAACTGGTTAGGACAAATTTTTCTTTAAATTATTACTAGAGGTCTGTCTTAATTATGTATATTTGTTATTAGTAATTGAAATATGGTTATTAATGATTAATGCTTAGATAGAAACCTAGTAATTAATAGTAATGAAATCTTGATGGATAATGGCTGAGATGCCTCAGTTTCTCCAACTGAGAATTCAAGAATATAGTTTCAAGTGGCACAAGTAGGATCCTGTCTGACTGCACAGGGAAGCATCCAATAACCCAACACAGGAGCAGGCTAATTACTAGTTTTGTAATTAGTAATTAGCACACCATACCAGTGGTTTTGAAACTCTCAGCTATTATTAGACTTATTTTCTGTGTTATTTAATGCAAGAAAAATCTGTAGCTTAATTCACTATTTTTAGTACTTTTAACCCCTTTTGAGCCTCTTGGAAATGAGCAAGGCTAGCTAGTATTCCTCCTTCTGAGATAGGCCTTTGTACCTGATTTCAGTCCCACATAGATGTTATAGGGGCCTAATTTGGGGAATTCTTTTTTTCTATGGGCTGGTGGGGGGAAAATCCTTGTGAGTCTTAAATTATCCTAGTAACTCTGACAATGAGAAATTGATTTCTTATTGTCTAAGATATAGATTTTTGTACCTTAAAAAATAATCCAAAACTAAATACTTCCTTCATATAGGACACTATCTTTTTTTTTTTTTTTTTTTGGTCAAATAATAGGTAGGAGTCCCATTTGGGACTTATCTCTAAGGCTCATTAAATATACTTAGAGACTACCCATTCAAGTTTATAATATTAAATTTTTGTTTTATTTATTATTTGGATTTTTATTATATATTTATGCATTTGTCACTACTCTCCAGAGCAACCCTTCTGCTGTTGGTGCTCATTTTGGTTTAAAAGCTAAAGCACCTTCATTAAAGTTGGGGCTTTGATGTAGCAAGCATTTGGGAGAGGGTAGAAAAATGGGTATTCATTAAAAAAAAAACTAAATAGGAACTGTATACTGTTTGCTCATTTTCAAATCGTTTAAAAGTTCAACAAATAACACAGTACATATTTGATGCACATTTATGCAGTCAGGGGAAAGCAGTACTTTCATTGATGTTTCCATTAATTTTTCTGATGTTATAAATTTTCATTACTTTTTAGTCTGAACATTACATAGTGACATTTATATAAAATAAGAGCAGATGTTAATTTAAAACATATGCCATACTGATAGTGCATGTTTTAAAAATTGCTTTGGCAGGATCTACTAACATATTGGCACATTCTCTTCATGGGGTCCCTCACGTAGTAACTGCAACTTTGCACATTATAATGGGTAAGAATTCTTCCAAAGAAGTTTGTTTTGTGAGAAAGTTTTTATTTATGTAAGAAACACTGTTTTATTTCTGCCAGTTGTATCTAAGGAATGGCAAGTTCTTTGTCTCTTGAGATCAGAGAAATGTTTGACTGAAACCAAGAAGTCAATTAGGCAGGGCTTCACTATTTGGATTACTTATTCAAAATATTGTTTTGTAAAGAGTAGTAAATGAAGCTTTACTATAATCTTGATAGAAAAAAAATACTAATGATGTTCAAAACCACAATTTTATAATCAGATCCAGAAGAATCTATGGATATTATTTTAGTATATAACATAAACATTTTTTTTTTAGTATACCAAGACTCTCGGGCTAGGATTATGTTAAAATAAAAAAAAAATTACAAGAAAATTATTTTAACCAGAACACATCTGTAGTCTATTAATCATCCCAATTTGGAACATTTTATTTTAGAAAAATACAACGCAAAACTACAGTTAAATCTAAGTTTATTTTGTGCATCAACTTCAACATCACTTCCTTAGCTGTGTTTTATATGAAATAGCAATAAGCTGAAAAATTTACTGCTTTAGGTTTTTCACTTAGAATTTAGAAAAGTTACAAATGATGTCTATAATAGTTATAGGTAAAGAGAGATGAAGAGAAAGCAAGGATATTCATTGTGGTGTACAGTACCTTGAGATACTATCCCATAGATAAATAATTGTGGTCTTTGATGTTTGCTGCTTTGATAACTAGATGTACTTCATTCACTGACTAATATTCAATACAATATTCAGGGCACATACAGCCAGTTGATGTCTGCTCCTTCAGTACCACTGGCAAGCTTCTTCGCTTTGGGTTTTCAGCCATGTTTGGCTTTGGTGGTAGAACTTTGGCTCTTGCAGAAAAATATCGATGGATGTCTCCTAACCAACGGAGAGATTTTGCTGTAATAAAGGCACTAGCAAAACTTGAGTAAGTATTTTTCTTAAACCAAGAATTTTGTTTCATGGGGTCAATGACTATTAATAATAAATTTTATTATTTTAGGCCAGAGGATTGTGAAATATCATTTTTACCACTTAATGTCTCTCAGGATGACCCAAAAATGTAAGTTAAAGCTCAATGTAATAACATCTGTATCCTTCTTTAAAGCATAAAACATTTTGAAATAATTTACTAGACTTGTGATCTTAGGTTATTTTCTTATATACTAAGAGTCAAGAGTATAGAATCACAGACTCCTGCACATTCTAGTAAGCATATAGTTTGGCTTCTGTCTTCAGGACACATACAACCAATCGAATCCATTTATTTATTCATTCAACAGCTGTTTGAGTGCCTACTGCATGCTAGACACTTTGGATATATTCATGAGCCCAAACCCAAACAAAACTTGCAATTTTGGCCCTCATGAGAATTTTAGTCTAGTGTGGAAAACAAATATTAATCAAAGCCAAACTGAGGAAGGGCTCTACTCATGAAAGTAATTGAAAATCATTGTTTCTTATAATACTGTTCTACCATTAGATGAATTAACACATTATCAGGTTGGCAGGACAAAATTTCTCATATATTTTCACTTACTATTTAATAAAATCTTTAATATATACAAGGATGGGTTCTCTAATTTCTTCATACCTAATAGGTACCATGTGCATGTGTGTGTGTGACATGTTTTGTCTCTGTTTTGTTCTCTTTCTTTCAGGAGGGCACAGGGATTACTCAACTCTGGTAAGTCCAAGAGCAGCACCTCCTTGTGACCTGAGCCAGGCTGTATTGGCATTGTGCTCTGGTGAGGAAAGTAACTAGTCTCGTTCATTGCCTTTAGACTGTAATGATCAATGGCAAATGATCCAGGGTCAGTTCTTGAATGTCAGCATTATGGCAATTCCCTGCCTGTGTTCAGTGGCACCCAGAGGCTTGGCACCTAATACCAGGTAAGTAAGCATTTTTATTGAGTTCTTGATATTCTTTTTATAAACCCAATTTTTTCTTTCATGATGCCCAGTTTACCTTTGGCTAGCTAGAAACTGCCTAATAGGTAGTGTCTCTTGGCACGTAAGAGTTTCTGAAGGATTTATTATCCTTCAGATAACAAAATTTTCTGAGTAGGTTGAGAAAAACTGTTGAACTAGAAATTTTGCCAGATAATCATTGACCTTTTAGTATCACTAAGGCTAAAATCACATTCCTTTGTTTTCTTGACTTCATCTTGTTATTTCATGCCTACCTTATTTCCTTTGCTTATTTACGTTTTTACTGGTTGTTGAAAACATTACATTCTGATGTTTCTTGTGAATATCTATTTCATTCTTAAAGCAAACAGAAATATCCTTAACATGAAAAGGATAGCACATGTGTTTTCATTTGAAACTTTAAAGGAAACATTTCAGTTCCACTTAAAGTGAACTATGATGCATAGGATTCCACTACACATACTTTTAGTTAAATACATTATGAGACATTTTATAAATTTCATCTATAGATAAACATTATTGCTCTTGCAATAATGATTTTTTTGAATCATTGTCCATTATGAGTATGAAAATATCTCTCCCAAATTCCAATCCTGTATAGAAAAAAGGGTCATGACTATTGTAAAATAAGGTTTTGTTAGCTTTTCATTGCTGTTACAAAATACCTAAGAAAGTCAACTTAAAAGATAAGATTTATTTCGGCTTATGATTTCAGTCCACAGCTGGCTGGCTGGCTTCATTCCTGTAGGCTTGTGGTAAGGCAGAGAATTGTGGTGGAGAGTGTGTAGTAGAGAAAAGCTTCTCACTTCATAGTGGCCAGGAAGGAGAGAGAGAAGAGATAGGTAGGGAACAATACATACCCTTCCAAGGGGTGCTCCCAGAGATCTATTTTCTCTAACTCAGCCACACTATATTTTCCTCCATCTCCCAGTAGTCCATTCAATTATTAACCCATCAATAGATTAATCCAATAGATGAAATCAGAGCTCTGGTGATCCAGTCACTTCTCAAAAGCCTCTGAACATTGCTGAGTTAAGAATCAAGCCTTTGACACAGGAGGCTCTGAGAGACATTTCACATCCAAACTGTAACAACATCAACTCTAGATTTTCTCTGTAAGTGGAATGAAAGGATGACTTCTGTACTTTGGCAGTTTATAACATACTAATGATTAGTTTTAACTTCCCTGCAAAATATTTAACCAGAAAAATTAACATCGAGAAAAGGGAGTGATTTTAAAATTCTTTCTTGGTAATTGCTATAAAGGTAATAAACATGTATCCAAAGATAGAGGGGGAAGAAAAGAGAAACTAACAACTTTAATAATAAAAACCCAGATGGCAAGGTTCACATTAAGCATGTCTAGTGCAGAAAGTTGGAAGGAGGGTTTTGAAGCTTGTGTGATTTGGAAATGGAGCCTGGTTGTTTCCTTTCCACATCCTCAGAAATCCTAGATAGTTGTATGCTTCCCAAATGGCAGTTTCCTCTGCTAGACATGAAGATGTGGCTAGCTGGCCCAGAAGCTGCATCCCGCAGTCCTTGAGACAGTGTTTTTGTAACCCTGCTTGCTCAAGGACTTCCAAGGGAGGTAGCCCTGCTATTTGGGGAGCAATTGATTCATACCTCTTTCAAAGCAACTCCATCAATGTTCAGCTTTCCTGGGAATCCAATGCTGACTCTCCTAGTTTAATCAGTATTGCTGAGCTTTTCAAAGAAGGATGACTAATTATGGATTTCTTCTGTGGCTTATAGGGAAAACATTCCAGTTTTTGTGAAGGCCTTTAGACCGGGCCTCAGGTGACCAGAGATATCAGAGATATAGCTTCTGAATGATTCAGAATAATCAGAGATCCTACTTTCAGCTTTTCTTCCACTTGCAATAAAATATAATTTACTGCAAAATAACCTCGGTGCAAATTGGTGTTAGGAACTAATTTTCTTCTACATATTCTAAGAGTAAATGCATTGATATATATATGAGACATTTGGAACAGTGCCAGGCACACTGAGTATATTTCCATTACTAGTAAATATCGAAAAGCAGACATAGGTAATACTTCTCATGTTTATTAAATGACACAATTAGAAAAACAAAGATGTACAATAACACTACCCTGAACATTTTTTTGCTGTTTCCGAAGGGGAAGAGGTGGCATGATAAGTAGAAGAGACACTGGACCCTGGCAATTAGGAGCTTTGGGGCTGGAGGTGATTTTGTTTTTCTCTGTGTCTTTGAGCACATCATTTACACTCTTGTGGTCTTTTTCTTCTACATAAAATGAGTAAACAGTAAGATAATCTCTAAGGTCCCTTACAGCTCTAACCTGAGCTCCCGTAAGATTTAAAGAGCTGTTTTTTATGTCATATTCTTGGGAGAACTTCATGTTTGCACTGAAATCAGGCTTGAAGTCGTTTGCATGGATTCTGCAAATTGCTTTCTTAAGCGAATGCATTTGTGCATGGCTGTTCTGGCACTAAATCACACCTCTGAATCTCCAGTCTATCATATTGGATGGAATGGTTAGGCAAGATTAAAATGCTCAGTCATTTAACTGAACATGTGTGGCACAGTTGTTCACTCCATTTCCTCCACCCAGGACCACTTTGATTTATTTCATTTCCTATGTCACTTAGACCTTCTGCCCATAAAATAAATATTTAAATCACACATTAAATTTTAGAAAATGTTGAGCTATGTATTATACCATTTGTACATGTTAACTATTTTATAATATATCTTTTAAATAATGACAGTGGATTTTAAATTGTGACTTCATAATGTGAATAGGATGCATGATGGTTTGCTTTTTAAAGAGCCCTGATGTAAGAGCTTGCTGAGAAGGAAACAAATGGTTTAGTAAAACTAATTTGAAAAACTCCATCATTTAAACAATAACACAGCAAGATATGACTTTAAGAGTTTTAGGTAAATTTAATATGGTGATGATTAAGCTATCTTGCCCAATATTTCTAGTAAACAGTATATTTGTTATAAGAAAATGATATGGAGTAGCTTCTGAAGAAGTCTCTTAATAAACTTCTTAATGTCAAATGCAAATGTTTAATTTCAGAATAAACAATGGAAGTATGGCTCTTATAATTGCACGAAACACTTCTCGACCACAATTTATAAGACACCTGAAAAGATATGCCAGTATAAAAAATCAGGTATGGTGCCTTCTTTTTGTTACTTATTTGCAAAGCTATTAATCATGGAGTAAAAGATGCTTCAAGAGTTGACACCAAGGCTTGCCTCATAAAAAGGCTTTATTTTCTTCTGAATACATTAATCTTTTTTCTTCAATCTGCATTTTATCCAGAGTTTGAAAAACATCCACCAGTGTTAATATAAACTGACTTTTATGAGATATGGGTTATACATTTTTTTCCAAATAGAAAATATTGTGTTATATTGAAAAGTGAAGCAAATTAAGAATATAATCACACACTCAGGCTGTTCTTCAGAGTGAAAAGTAATGAAATCTGAAGTTGTATCAGCAGTTTTGATTTTATGGTAGCAGGCTCTCCAAAGTTATGCACTTTGGATTTTTCTGACATTTATTTGCAGGTCTGCCTATGTTCACTGGTTAAAAAAGATTTCCAAATATGCTTCATAATACACCACTTTTATGCAGACATTATTTTATTCAAAACAAGAACACATAGAGATATATATTTCCACTTAAGTGATTTAACTTTGAAGAGACAGTGGTTATATTCTTTTGCCAGATTTTTGGACCCAGTCTGAGTCTTGAGGTACACAGGTGTGGTTGTAAAACTCTGTCTATAGCCTTGCATATTCTAAAGGTATAAAATAGTGTTAGATGTAGTGGAAAAACAACAAATGATGGGAATGATGTAGTGATTCAGCCAATGACCGGCTGCTGAATCTTGCTTCCAGACAAAAGCCATTGCCACTTATTAGTGAGAACCTGAGAAGCTCGCATTCTTCCTTCATAATTTCAAACTTCCTTAGGAAGTCCTCAAGCAGTGAGTTTTCGTCTATATATTTTTTTGATAAACATATTACCAACTGGATATTTTAGGAAATTCAGACATAATCACACTTTCCTTAAATATAAATCTCTAAGAAGACAAAGGAGACAAGTGGATATAAGACAAGTGATTGTAAGCCTAAGTAATATATGTGTGTCTAGGAGAAATTTGTGGATTTAATGATTTTTTTCAAAGGAATTTATGCATTTTCTGATTTTACTAATTTTTAAATTTTACTTATTTTTAATTTATTACATCATTTTATTTGTTTATTTTAATTGTTAAGTTATAAATTGACAAAGTATAGCTGTCTATATTTATGTGGTAAGAAGTGATGTTATGATTCATAATATAGTATGGAATGCAAAGGATTTAAGTTAAATATCTCAAAACAACAACAACAAAGATATGAGTAGTTGATAAGCACATGAAGATACTCAACATCAGTAGTCATTACTGAAATGCAAATTAGTACCACAGGGTGATATGATTACACATGTCTCAGAATAACTGCAAAAGACTAAAGATTCATAGATTAGTGAGGATGTGGAACAGTTTGGACATGATACATTGGGTTTGGAAATGGGAAACACTTGGGCAGTTTCTTTAAAAGTTCAAAATTCTTTTACCATATGACTTGGCAATTTTACTCCCATTCATTCCTTCAAGAGAAATGAAAACATGTTCACACAAAGATTTTACTAAATTTTAAACATTAAAATCAACTTTATTTTTCTTACTCCAAAAGCAGAACATATTCCTTGTTTTTGTTTTTTGTCAGAAAACAGAAACAAGAAAACAAAATGAACAGCATTCAACATCCCTTGTTCCTAGGGATAATCAACATCATTACCTTGGTATAGATTTTTTTCCTAATCTTTTACTATGAAATAAATACCTGAGAAGTGAGTATTGAGTTATTAATGAGAACCTGAGAAGCTCTATTTTAGGGGAGCATCTATTGCATAAATTGTGTATGGAAGATCTCTTACAGAATTCCCTAAGGAGCAAATTTCTGAGGCAATTTTTATAGACATATTTTTTTTTCTCCAGTGAAAATAACTGTCTTCTGATTTCAAAATCAAAGCTTACCTAAAAGAATAAGATATACAGAATATAATGAAAATAGTTCTATATCAGTAGGAAAATGTTTTTAAATTAGATTATGTTATGCAAGATATAATGTATTTTTCCATGTACTTAGCCAGTGATTTTTTTTTTGATGGAAGAAATTATGGCCTGTGTGTTTTATTAGATTTAACTGATTCACATTGCTATTTCCAGAAATTAAAGTTTATGATATTGCTCTATAATTTTTTTGCAAACAAATTCCAAAATGTCTTATATAATGGTATACAGGAAAATTAAATAGAATGGTTCCCAAGGCAACTGCTCTCAATGTTAGTTTGATATATTTGTTAAAAGTTATCGATTCATATCAAACTAACATTGGGAGTGTGTGTGTGCATGTGTATTTGGTCTCTTTCTTTCATAGTGACATTTTCCCAAAAATGTAAATTATATAAGATTATAAAGACCAGATGAATGTGGGTTTATATAATCTGTTGTATAATTAATAGTAATGCTGGTCTTTAGGAAGGAAAAACATGGTTCTTCCATCTAAAGAGAGCAACATCTGGTTCCCTGAAGTCCATTTACCAGGTTAAACAAGTGAATTTTACTATATAATCTGTTGTGGAACAGATTGAGAATCACTGTTGCTTTCACCATCTTTAAACAATATAGAGTAAAATAACCTAAGTCCTTTCAACTCCATCCTATTGCTGACCCCCTTATCAAAGTTCCCCCATTTCTCATTATTTTTTTTTATCATTTGGGGTAAGTAATTTAACACCCTTAAGTGTTAGTGCTTCCTCAGGATATACTTGCAGCCCTCTTGACATCTCAGGATACCCTCTTCTGGGTGATTTCCTTGCCCCCTGCTATTTGAAGTGCTCACCTGTGCATCATGTCTCCCAAGGGTCCTGTCTTCTCTTTTGATCAGCAGAGTCACTATGCCTTCTGTGTGCTGCAATGATTATGGAATCCACAGCATCCTGAGTCCCCATGTCCACAGCCGACCTTATCACTTTCCTCTAGCCACTGCTTCCATATTCCCTGTGCAGGTCAGTGGCACCACCTGCCACCCACCCTGAAGTTACTCTGGACTCCTCTTTCACTCCTTCCTCACAATCTCCCATCAACTACTTCTGTTGGATCTCATCTAAAAATTTTTCCTTCATTTGAATTTAAACCTAATCCCTTCTTGCTCCTCCTATTGGCCTCCTTGTTTTGTTTCTCTGGTCTGGTTTTCTGTATTTCCTTCGAGAGGGAGTTTTCTGAAACACAACTGATTTCTCTTCTGCTTCTCCTCGTCATCAGGCTGAGGTCTAATTTTCTCAGTATGGAATACATGGCCCTTTGTATTCTAGCCCCTGCCTGTGTGGCAACCTCCTTCCCATCTGCCACCAGATTCCCTGTGTCTTGGTCATTGTGTTAGTTTTCTAGGACTATCACAACACATAGAATAGGTGGTTTAAACAACAACAAAATTCTGTTTCACAGTTCTGGAGGCTAGAAACTCAAGGTGTCAGCAGGTTTAGTTTCCTGTGAGGCTGTGCTTTAGCTTGCACATGGCTACCTTCTCACTGTGTCCTCCTGTGGTCTTTCCTGGGGGTATGTGCATCTCTCTGTGCTTTTGTAAATATTATTTCCTCTCTCCAGAGCTCCTTTCCCTCTCCTCCAGGGTTAAATCTTCTGTGTTCTCAGCTCACTTGGGAAGCTTTCCTCACATGCAGAGCCTCCTGGCCTCGTGTCTTGCTGAGCTCCAAGACCTCACTGTCATAGTACTTCTCTGTATAATTTTGATGGCTTCTCTTCTCCCCTTCACTTCAAAACATACCTCACACATCGTACTGTTGGCTTCCTGAAGTCCCATTTAACAATGTCTGTGGCTTCATCATTAATGAATTTGAATGGATGACTGGTGCTTCATTCTGAGAGGTGTGATGATTTAAGATCATAGACTTACTGGCGGTGGATTCAGTTCTTGGCATTTCGTAACTTACAGCTTGATCACTCCTGCCTTTCATCACGTGGTGTTGTGGTGTTCTTTAAGAACATCAGTCATGTAGGGTTAGGACAAACCCTAACGACTTCATCTTTAATTGAGGACACTACTTCCAAGTAAGGTGACATACACAGTTACTGGGATTAGAACTTGATATTTGGGGGGTGGGTGTAATTTAGCCAATAACAGCCAGTTATTGATGACTCATTTAAATCACATAATCCTTAAAATAAGTGATTAGGTAGAAATCTCTGCAAGTATGAGTCATGTAATTTCTGCCTGATGCAGAAGGTCTACTGTAGTTCTTACAGAGAACAAGCTCCTTGGAGCCTCTCACTCTACCTCTATCAGAATAGCTGATGCTTCCTTATTCTGCAATATGAACTGCACAATCTGTTAGATCTTGCTTTTGACATATATAACAATGTTGTGGAAGATATTACTTTTTATTGCCTTTTAAAACTCTGCTTCGTTGAGGTTTATATGTGGAATAAGGGGGGAAACTATGAAGATAATCTATTAGGGGTAAATTTCCTACCATTTGTCTGAAAACTAAAATGAGTATTTTGTAGTTCTCTTAAAATTATTTGACTCTTAATTATTTCAGAGAATACATATACTTTTTCCTTATAGCTTACTTAAGCAAAGAAGAAAAGTTTCAAGTTGAAGGTTACCTTGTAACATTCTCAAGTGATCAGTAATCAGTTTTCTTAAAACGGATGCCATTTTTAGAGTGGGAAGGAGGCAGGGTAACACCTGTGAAAATCAGATTGTGTTGGCTCTTTGAAGAAAATATATACTTCACATTTTATTTCATAATTCTAAGTATGAAGCTTCATCATTGGAGTTTGATTCACCCCAGCTGAATTCACAAGTTAATAAGTCAATGGATTATACAACTCTTTTGTATCAACAGGTATATATTAATGATCCAGTCTTTTATTGGAAGATATACAATATTATGTGCAATTTTTCATAGATAGGAACTATTTGTCATACAAGTTCTATACAATGGACCTAATAATCAAACCAGCTTCAGGAAAAAGACTTTCAACCAAAACAAAAAACAAAACTGAGGATCCCTGGTGGTAGTTTCAAAGATGTAAAAATATTATCTTGCATCATTTTTACCTGTGAGAGGGGCCACAGTAGACCTTCTTGATTTGCAGTAGCAGTTAGAGATTAAGCCAATATCATGATTATTTGCATTTGTTTTATTTAGTTCAATTTTCCATTTGTTGAGACTTATACTGTTGGAGAAGTAAAAGTTCATCCAAGGAACACCACTAGCGGCTGTGGCCCAGAGGAGGATAAACCGCATGAAGCTACTTTAGAAAACAGTTTTCCTTGGAATGTAGATGGGGACTTAATGGAAGTTGCATCTGAGGTCCATGTCAAGTAAGCCTAACTATTTTACTGTTTTGTATGTCACCAGTAGACTCAACACTAGTACTGCAGGAAAGCATTATTTCAAAAAGTCAAACAAGGAAGGAAAAAATGACACATACACAACTTTCAATAGAAAAGTATAACTTCATATTTATTCAGCAACTCTTACATAGTATAGTGCAATGGCAATTTTTTGGTTGGGGTTCTATGTTGGCATTCCAAATTATTCTGCATAAACTCTACAGTGAATGTGTCTATAACTTTTATAGATTTTTAAAAAATGGTTCAAAATCTCAAGGCTTTGTGAAGTCATCTGAATGGTGTATACAGTCTTTAGTTTCAGCCATTTCTAATACCATTGCACCTTGTTCAGGAGTTTGCTTTTATCAAGTCTTTACAAAATATTCAACGTATTTTACAGAACACTTTTACATATTGGTACATGAGGAGAGCAATTGATACAAATAGATTTAGGAATATACAAGCTAATTCTTGGTTAAGTGTTACGTTTTAATGGGCAAACGTGTAGGAGCACCTACTAGATGTATTGTTGCTAGAGGGACAACAGACTGTTCCACAGAGGCAATATGGAGCATTAGTCTAGGTGGCTTTGAAATAGTTACCAGTGTTTTTTGAGGCACTCTAAGTTTGCATCTTTGCCATTAGTAATTTTTAGGTGGTATTACTATGTACCATAATCATTATGTATGTGTTTGAAATCAAAGGTTGATTAAATAATAAGTTATGTATATTCTTTACAGATTACATCCAAGACTTATCAGTCTTTATGGAGGAAGCCTGGAAGAAGTGAATGATTTCCAAGTAACATGTAATTGTTTATAAAAGAAATGTGCAAATTAGAATTTTAATATGAAGAAATTTGCTCATTCTTTAAACAGATATCTTAAGAAAATGTTTTAAAAGTAAAATTGCTATTTTTGATACTAAAAAGCTTCTAGGAGGTTTTTGAAAATCAAGATGAAAATATGAAATATCAAAAACAATTTAAATTCTGGTTTGTATAGGTGTTTATTGGAACTGAAACATTTCATATGTTTAACCTTTATGATATCAATATTTAATCAAGATAATTCATTTGGACTCTTTTATTTTACAAGATTTGAATCCATCATGTACTTCCCTGATTTTATGAATTAGACAACAAATTTAGAGAAGTTAAATTCCAAAATGACACATTTAGTTGTGTAACCAGAAACAGAACCATGTTTTTTGAAAATCTTTCTAATGCTTAGCCTGTCTGCCAAAATAGAATAATCCCATCTTTGAGAAAATGTTGTTCAGTGGTGAGGTTTATAAATTCATCATATAGGTAAACTTAAAGTTGATAACATTTTATTTAGAATTATGTAAAAGCCTAATTGGTAGCTGTGTTACTCTTGTACCTGAGATGCATAGGTCCAGAAATCATAGCTCTTGATTTCCAACGTAATTTCTTTAGAGACCATTCTTGAGAAGACAGTTCTAAATTGGTGCTTGACTTTTTTCATGAGGGAGTGATCCTAGATATATTTCTAAAAGTTATTTGGCTTTTTAAAAATTAGTTTAATTAATTATATGTGATAGCAGAATGCATTTCATTTCATTGTACACAAATGGAGCACAACTTTTCATTTCTCTGGTTGTACATGATGTAGAATTGCACCATATGTGCAGTCATACATGTGCCTAGGATAATGTTCATCTCATTCCACCATCATTCCTGCCCCCATGCCTCCTGCCCTCCCTCCCCTTTGCCCAAAGTTCCTCCATTCTTCCACACCCCTTCTGCCCATTAAGAATCAGCATCCACTTATCAGAAAGAACATTTGGCCTTTGGTGTTTTGGGATTGGTTTACTTCACTGAGCTTGGTATTCTCCAACTCCATCCATTTACCTTCAAATGCCATGATTTTATTCTCTTTTAATGCTGAATAATATTCCATTATGTATATGTACCACAGTTTCTTTATACATTCGTCTGTTGAAGGACGTCTAGGTTGGTTCGTAGTTGAGCTGCTACAAACATTGATGTGGCTGTGTCACTATGGTATGCTAATTTTAAGTCCTTTGGGTATAGACTGAGGAGTGGGATAGCTGGGTAGAATATTACTTGGCTTTTTATAATGATGATAAAAGCATAAAAATGTCTTTTTGACAAAAAGCGCTCTTAAAATATATACATTTTAGTTTTGCTTGTACACAGTTAAGGAGGCTTTGTGTTCAACTTTGCTCAAATAAATGCCTTGGCAAATCACAGTACATTTCTCATTCTCCAGCCACCAGTCTCAGGCTTGTGAATAAGCAACTTCCATGAATCAGAAAATCTGAGGAATGGGACAGCTGGCAGCAGAGCCCTTATGCAAAGCAGTATTCCCCACAGTAAAGACTGGTTTCTTATTTATCTACTTGATTGCTTCCTAGAACAGATGTTCAAAAGTTGGCCACAGGTTTCTTATACACATAAAGAGATCCAGATGAAATTATATTCCAAAGTCACCAGCATCTAGATCACAGGCATCAAAATAAATATTTAAAATTCAGAAAGCTATTTCATTTTAAAATAGATCTGAAAAAACATTATTAATGTTCACTGTATGGAAATATTCAGTGAACTATGAATTTTGTTTTTCCATTTCCCTGGAGAAGTGAATGCTGTTATAGACCTGATAAGAACATATTCAAAAAGAGTAATGAAATATTACAACCAGGCAAATGTTTGCTTAATTTGGGACAGTGACTATTTAATACAGTACCAAACAGATGAAATGTTAGCCCCCTAATCATTCCTGGAACAGCTTTTATAAATCACTATGGAGGCACAGTTTTCATATTTCTTATATCAGTGTATAGCAGCTAAAGTGCAACATTTACAATCTGTTTCAGAATATAAATTAGAATACTTGAATAGTTTTATAAACAAAAAAGTTTGAAGATTTAAAAAAAATTTACTCCTGGGTACTCTTGACAAGTGTATTATAGGAGGCTAGTGGATTTATACCTATAGCAAAGTTTACATTCTTTAAAAAATGTATATATACAGGGGGGAAAAATCCGTAGCTGTATAATTCTCCACAAGTCAGTCCATTAAGCTGAAACCAGTGTGTCATTTCGGAGTAAAACAGTTGCCATACAAAATGTGTTACAAATGCAGATCTTTAAAAATAAAACATGCTTTGAAGTAATGGTCTTCCTCTTTTATTCATTAAAAGATTCAGGGACACTGCTTTAAAATTATAAATTATTTTTAAAAATATGCTTCATATAAGTCTCAAAGATGTATTTGAAATGAACCAATGCCCATTCAGTGGATTTCCTTGGCCAAAGTGAGCACATATGAAGTTCAAGATGATTTAATTCAGATGTACTTAATATATCTGCAAGGGTTTAGTTTTTTTTTTAATAATTCAAAGGCTGTAGTGTTTTTCTACTCATTATATCTAAAGTTGACCTTTCAGCTATTAAGTATTGCCTTTGCAGTTATTCTCTTTCAGTGATCACTGCTTGAATTATTCCCTCCAATTAAGACAGAATTCAGGTCCAAAGCAAAGGAGTATATGGAAGAATCTGAGAAAAAATCATGTCTTCTTGTAATCTGTTTTTAATCACCATCATTGCTTTTACTGTTGACATAACTCCAACTATCTCTTCTGTTTTCTTCTTGTAGGATAGATTTGTATTGTCTTTTAAAGAAGCCAGCCTGAAAAAATTAAATAATTGTGAATAGTTATGAACATGCTATACTCAGTCAAACCAGTACTCTTAAACTGTGTCCCAGGTCACTCTACATGAGGGCTTTTACCAGATAAAATCAGTAAAAATTCGTTGAAAATATTGGTTTACGGAAGCATTTTTGCTGTTAGTACAGGACTCCTCAGACCCTCCCCCAGTTGATATTCAACATAATATACAATGTTTTACAAGTCTTTATTTAAAAAAAATGTTCAGAACTAGTATACTAGTTCTGTATCCAAACTATAATATTAGTTCTGAACATTTTTTTTAAATAAAGAATATATACACTGTATAGTTAAAAAAAAAAAAACAATTTGGGAGATACTGGTTTTGAAAAAAATAGCATTTTTAAAGACCTACCTTCCACATAACATATGAAATCAATAAAAGTACAATAAGACCAAGTAGCAAACTAGTTGAAATAATCACTATTGTGAAATGACGTTTGGGTATTTGATGATGTACTCCTTCTAGTAGAACCTATGTGAATTAAGCAAAATAAAGAAACACCAGTTAGGAACTTTGAAACTCCTTCCAACCACCTACAATAATTAAAACTAGCCACCCCATTCGTTTGTTCTCTTGCGGATTCCACACAACCCTAGATACACTAGCGGGAATAGTAAATGAAATGGGCTTTGTGACTCTTCCTCCAGTTCATCCTGTTCTAACTGCTACCTGATTCATTCCCTAAAGAGCTCTCAGTCATTTCCTCCTGACAGCAGTGTAAAATGCCACCTCTCAATGAAATGTTCCAGGTCCTCTATGACACATTGGTTTCCTGACTCAGGTATGCAAAAGGAATTATGAACACCCTAACTGCAGTGGACCAATTAAAAGAGGAACTTACATGTGCAACATTTTCATCCTTGTTTAGCTCAATAACTCTTGGATGTGGTTCTGTAAAGGCTGTTGCTCTTATTTCAAATTTGAGTGCTGACGTTGCATCCTGTTTTAAAAAAAGTAGTCATCATCACCTGTTTTATTTCATCAAGACATTAATTTCTCATGGTCTTTACTATCTAGTTATTTCCACAGTTTGTCTTCCCGAATTTAATTGTAATTAATTGCAGTGCTTCCCTTTAATTCTAAAGTTGTAATCATATGGCATCATTTCATTGAAATACTTTTGGTAAGTATGGCTGTGCTACAGATAACTTGATTGAGATAGTATTTGTTAGACTGTCAGCAGTTCATTATTAATGTAATTTTTCAGAGATTAAATTTTTAGCCACAAACAAGACTTTTTTCACCTGATAAACATTTCCTCAAACTAACATTTTTTTTTTTTTTTGGAATTTTTTTTTTCTGAATGAAATATATTTGGACTACTGCTATAAAATTATATTAATCTTAATTTATATTAATTTCATTATAATTTTAATCTGTGGAGGAACTTTAGTATCTAAAGCAGGTACTATATAACCCAGATTTCATAGATTGGGGATCTCTGGATGAACCTTCTAGATTCAGAGGTATTTTCCTGTGTGCTGAGAATATTAAAGAGGTCTATGACCCTCAAAAGCTATAAACTGCTGTGTAAAAGTTACTTTACACTTTCAAACTGGAAATAAAATCATCTAGAACCAGTGATTTTTAATAAGGGAGGATTTTGTCCCTTAGGGGATAGCCAGCAATGTCTGGAGACATCTTCGACCATCAGGGTAGTGGTACTATGGGCATCTGTTACTGTATTGCAGCTGAGGATGCTGTTAAATACACTACAATACACAGGATAACCCCCCTATGGTTCAAAATGCCAATAGTGCCTACTATTGAGAAACCTAGACATGGTTAAAAGACTTGCTGATGGTCCTATGACTTTTTAGCAAAATTGAAACTAAAATGGATAGTTTTTTGATGTGTCTTCTTCTTGACCACTATGTGGTAATTTCAGAAATTCCAGTTAACACATAAGAGCTGTTATTACCTTTGGCTTACTATGTGCAATACTGTAAGTATGAACAAAAATCATCTCCTTTGGCCTGGGGATGTAGCTCAATAATAAAGCAACCCATGGTTCAATCCCAAGTATCATTTAAAAAAAATCTTTAAACAAAGATTTTTAAAAATTTAAAAAATCTCTAATCTGAGATTAGAGATGTTGAAAAGATGAGGAAACTGAAAAAACTAGTTTTACCTCTAAGTACTCTTCATGAAAATACACACTTCAACAGGAAGCAGTCCAAGATGTATGTAATTCAACTTTTCAAAATTCATTGTTTTTGTTGTGGAAATTTTGATGTTTGATTCTATGAAAATCTTAATTCTATGAGATTTTTAAGCATAATTTAAGGTTATATGAAATATTAAGATAGTCAATAAATGTTCATAGGCAGGTCTATACATTTTCTAAACTAAACCTTCTAATCATTTCATGGTTTTAGATAGCTTGAATGGTAAATAAAAATTGAGATATTCCAAAATATTTATGCCTTAATTCGTTGACAGCCTTTATATGATTCTGCTTCTATAAGATGATTGAATTTGTAAATTCAACGTGGAACTTACCATTTCCAAAATGGATGGCCGGCCTTCCAACTGGATGTGAACACTGGCTTCTTTTCCACTTTCCATTTTTCCAAAATGGCATAAGAAATTTAAACAATGTGGATCAGCTTTCATGCAGTACTTGAAAAGAATAAAATTTTCAACATTTAAAAGACTGTGTAAATATTTTATATAAAATTAAATATCCCTTTAGTGGCATTTAGAAAACTATCTTTCTGTAAACATGGAATTAAACATCTGCTTTCTCTAGGGCACTAAAAAACTTACCTTGCTTTAAATAAAACAAAAATGTTTGTTTTGTAAATTACAACAGAAATACAGTGTTAACGTTGGCGCATGTGTTCTCATCTTTTTTAGTAACATTCTTCTGTAAAAGAATGGAAAAAACAATGCCTAACCAGAGTCTTGCTAAGTTACATGTTCTACATTTGTTGTAAAACCTGGATCATTTGAAGGTGATGATTTCTTCCCCAGTTTCTTTTCATTAATTAAGATGAAAAGAATGAAAATCTTGTGCCACAAGACTTCTGGGTGATTTGGCGTCTTGAGTACATTAGAATAATATCTGCTTGGCAGATAATGAGACTGTACAGTTTATATTTATCAATGAATCTGCCTCCCCCTTCCAAATCATGTTTGCCTCACCCCTCCAAATCGTGCCTGTACCTTATAAGCAAGATTATTACTTAAAGTTGGACCCTCTCCTCCCACTCGAATGACAGCTCACAGCCATTGACTGGTTTTAAGTGTTTCACTTCTGTTGGGGAGCAAAAACTACACCCTGAAGAACAAACTTACCAATAGCCTCTTTTCAGTCTTCGACAAGAATTTGAATATGCCCCTCAAGGTCTCCAGTGTACCCTTCTGCAGCTCTGATGCACACTGCCTTTCATAATTTTTAAAATGGCATTGTCCAATAGTTGTCTACAAACATAGAAAGCAAGGAAATTATCTTTCACTTTGGAATGAATAAAATGTGGTTATAATAGTTCAAATTGCTTTTCTTTCTAAAATATATTAAGTACATCTGAAATTGTAAAAACAGTTTTGATAGAATTATTTGGGAGAGAGGATCTGTGGCAAAAGCACATACAAAAACTCAGAAAACTTATGGAAGGTTGGATAGGTCCTAAGTTGATCAAAATGGCCTTAACCTATAGAAATGTGAGAAGTGAAAAAAAAAAGACCTTTAAAAATTATACATGAAACAATAGCATGAACTATCTAAATCTGGATTTTTTTTTTTTTTTTTTTTTTGGTACTGGGTATTTAACCCAATGGTGTTTAAACATTGAGTCACATTCCAAGCCCTTTTTATTTTTTAATACAGGGTATCACTAAATTGCTTACAGCTTCACTAGGTTGCTAAGGCTGGCCTTGAACTTGTGATCCTCCTTCCTGTCTTGCAAGTTGCTGGGATTACAGGTGTGTGCTTCAAAAGTAGTGATGTAAATATTGCTGCCTATAGAAGGCTCTGTTTCTGATTTTCCAACAGTTGGCTTCAAGCTTTATAGAAAATTCTACTAACTAAATTTCTTCCACAGGTCCACATCACAAAGAATGCATCGTCAAATAGTTACTCAATAAAGATGGGGGAAAGGTTATATTAATTTGTAGGTCAAACCCAAAGATTTTGCTGCTATTCTATAGTTCTAAAGCAGTGTATAATGGTCAAAGTATAGTCAATGCATGGTGAATGTATAGTTGTGCCTATAAGAGAACAGAAATCTTCATCTTAGCAAAATGACTTAGAATAAAGGTGTGGTTTGCATTTTTTAAATATATAAGACACCTCAAAAAGGTCAGATGGAATACATTTTTACCTGGACATCCAAAATGTTGAACAGTTTATCAGTTTGAGGAGTAAAAGAATTTGGTACCATTATTTCCACACTCGCATTTGGAGCCATGCTAATGCCAGTGTTGATAACCTGGTAAGGAAAAAATTTCAAGCAATTTAAAAATATTTTTCATGAATGAAGAACAAAAATCAATGAGCTTTGAGGTGACCATGCCAGATTTACAGTTGTGGAGGTTTGTAGTTGGTAACCACATAGCAAAGAGACAGAATATTCATATTGAGAATTTTAAAAATTTTTAGTGATTTCAAACTCTCTTCACTGTTCCTAGCCTCCTCCCCTCCCCCAAAAGTCCAGGCTGATGGTTTATTGTAGAAAGTCTTAAGAGATATTCTTATCAATATATTTCCATTCCACATTATATATTTTAAAAACATGACCACCTGGTTCTCATGACTATCCTGTGAAGTGGGCCAACATTCTACTATTCGCCAGCTAAGGGATATATATGATGTTCCCAAGATGAAAGCTAAAGAGTGGCAAGTGTTGATATCTCGGTATTCTATCTCTAAATCCTATAATGTTTTCACAAAATAACTATCATAAGAGGACGATATCGGCAGTAAGGAATAAAATGTACTTTTATTCAGGAATATTATAATGCTAATGCATTCAGAAAACTGGAAATGGGTATACTACTGAATTTTCAAGAAAATACAATATTCTGAATACTTCTCAAAAAAAAATAAAAAGGAGACAATGTATCATTATTGATAAATTTGGGGATTACAGATCCCTGAAGAAAGACATTGGGCCAAAATATTGCCTAGTGAGAGCTTAAGTATAAAACCTGTAAGTCAGAAACAAGATTTGCAGCAATACCTGCATGAGAAAGGATGAGTCACAGACCTAAATGCATATGACAAAATAAAGAGACTGTCCCTAGATTTGGGACAGGTGGTAATTGCTAAGCCACAGAGCTGCTGCAGGAAGAAACATCAGCAATGGGTACCAAGCAGCACCCAGGACTATAGACCAGGTCTTCCTGATGCCAGTAAATAACAAAAGCAAATTGTAATTAGGCTACTAACCTTCAGACCTCTAAGAACATCTACATACTTGAACAGACTCACCACAACTTCAAACTGCATTTCTCCAGTCTGATTTACTCCATTGTAAATTAGAAAATATTTATTAAACATCAAAATTGTCATTCTAGAATCCAGCTTGGTTCCTGTTTTATGAAAGTGCAAGCCCCACGGACTTCTGACAAGCATTTCTTAGGATTTTGAAGAACAGTTCTGACATTATTACATATCAGTGTAACAAAAACTTGAATAGACACAGAATTGATAGGATTTCATTCTTTCTACAGATCTGCACAGTAATCTGCATTTTGGTTAAAAAACACAATTGATTCTCAAACATTCTGAAAAACATTTTATAAAATATACCTAATACAAAACTCACATCCTCAGGTTGTTATATAACTAAGAATGTCTGAATAGTGCTTTTGATTCAAAAATATTTCTGTAGACATATTTTCTCATCAACACCTGTGATGCAACCAAAACTTGTTTGACAGTAGAAATTTTATTTAAAAAGCTTTATATTAGTATATTAATATTTATAGATCATGATAATATTTACTTTTTAAAAGATTATTCAATAATTGATAAAGTGCTTATCACAGGTCATAAACCTGTGGCCCAAAAGGCTGACCAAGTTGATCCTAAATGGAAAGGGGCTGCAGTATATGGCTTTAACTGGTAATGTCAGGGCTATTATAAAGCTTGAATCAAGAAGAGATTTCACTGATTTCCTCCTAAAGAAGTCTTCTCCCAGCCTAACTCGCTTGTATGCATTTCCAATGGATTCGGCTCACCCCCTAACTTTGCCTGTTCCATGTGTTACTTCTTTTCCTGCATGCCCTCCCATGTGTCCTGGAAGGACATGAGGACTTGAGTACCAGGGATAAGAAAAAAGGGAGAAGAGCATCAGTAGCCTAGAAGTAGCTCTGTAGTGAGCTATGGTGGAGGGTATGGTGGGGATGAGACGTTCCCTGGAGCAACTCATCAGTAACATCCTTCACAGTTGCTACAAATATCCACACAATTAACTTTGCTTACGTGGAAAGTGAAGTTCATTTTGTCTGTCATACATGCTTCAGGCTCATTTTCCTCACTTGATCCATACACAAATGAATTTGGGTTCACAAACCTGATAGAAATAAAATCAAAGTTAATTAACTGTCTTCTTTGAAGAACCATTGTAAATAATCTTTATAGGTGTGTTATAGCACAATTAACATGCTGTAAAAGTATACTATGGAATAATTCTGGTTTCTTGGTGATAATTTTATTTAAAAATTAATGGAATTGGAAGGCCATGTGCTCTGACTTGAGTGACAATGTTTGTTCTCACCAATATCCTCTTTTTATCTTCCCCAACCCTGCCTGGTTCATTCTATTGACTATTCTTTCTCTTCAGCCCTTAATGATTCATGCTATTTTGGTAACTATAGGATAAATCTTTAGCTTTCTGCTGGGGCTCTTAATATATAAGTCTAACCTATTTTTGAGTTCTTTTTTTTTTCATCCCCAATTCTTGCTGGCTACTTGTAACCCCAAGTCTGGGAAACAAGAAAAACACTGGTAGGTTCGGTAAGTTTTTGTTCAGAATACAAGTTGCCCCCTATCTAAACCTGTGATTAGACATGTACATAGTTAGCTAAGGACATTGACAAAGGCTCTTCCTACTCCATGAGTCTATTTGGCATTGCAAGTTAGATAATACCAAATTAGGGACCCATTAAACAGGAAAGAAATGAGAAATAATCAAATGACATAGTCTTATGAAGTTCAATAGTCATAGAACATTCCTTGCTCCAAATAATGAGACATAAATAATAGAAAAATAGGAATGTACTCAATATAAGAAAATTGAAGTGGAGCAGTGAGATAAACATTCAAAACCAGAAGCCATGCAGTCACCTTTCATTAGCTTATCCACTGACTCTCGAGGTTCTGCTCTCCTGTGAATGGCCTTCTTTCTCCTGTTCAGTCTCACAAACTTAGTACTCAATTCCACTGGACACTGTCATGTTATGCTTATGTCAGTTGATGTCATCTTTATGGGTGGTTAAAGTGATTGGGAGATTGTTTATATTTTAACATAAAAAGTAAAGCTCTGTATTTATTTTGTCCTGTATCTCATCTCTTCTAGTGCTTTAAATATGTGGCAGTCTGAATAATGTCCAGTAAAACAATTAGAGAGTATCTTAATCTCCTCTTTCTTTCTTTCCACACACCCCTTCCTAAATCAGGGCAGCCACAGCTCTGTAATTAGTAAACTCATGAGGAAGCAATGAATGATGGCATGAAGGCTGACTGCAGAACTCCAGTCTCACCGGTGTGAACGGTGGGCTAGGGACACCTGGCAGCTAGCTTTCTCATGTCTCAGTCCATTTGCTACACAGGTAGACATGGGTGTGGACAGTGGTGATTTGGCCAAACTCACACTTCTTTAAACTTCACACTTGCCATGGCTACTGGGAATGTTAGTGCAAACTGCACACCACGTGTCTCTGGATGTCCCTAGATTGCAAAGCGTACAACTGAAAGGCTGACTGTGCCCTGCTAGAAGCTGATGGGGGCTCTTTCAGTAAGCAATCTCCACCAGCTGAGCTGGGGTTTGATACAGTATCAGTGATGATTATAGATTAAAATAATGAACAGTGAAGCCAGGAACTGCAACACTGAGATAACTGCTGAGGACACAGTATCCTTTTAATTTCCTAAATATGATTCTGTCATTCATGTAAGCAGCAATGGAATTGAAATTCCCTCTAAACTTTCCACGGGCCTCTGTATCGACTTACCCATGAGTAGTTAGCATAACCTCATATCTCACAGGTATTGCTAAAGTCACTTTGTTATCCTCTAGCCTGTCCATGTCTTCATTTTCACTACAAAAACCAGAAAAACACCTTGTTAAATTCATCAAGCACAAAAATCATCTTCAGAGAGAACTCATTACATATTATATACACCTAATAAACTTATAGGTTTAACTAGTTTGGGGGATAAAAGAAAATGTGGTAGTAAAAAAAGAAATTTAGGATGGAGTTAATAGAACTTTTTCTCATTATTTAAGCTGCTACCATTTGCTTCTAATCCTAGAGGGATTTTTGTTTGCTTTTTAAAAACAAAGCATGTAAGAAAAGTTTGTTCTACAATTAATTGAACACAGATCCATGGTTCTCCTAAAATTTCTCTCAAAATACAGGGGTTTGTTTCCTCTACTAAATTTTATTTTATTTTTTAATAATCAAATATACCAGGAGGCATGCACTGTGATGCTGAGATCCTCTTCTGCTCTGTTGAGTGAGCTCACATCCAGGAGAAAGCTAATATCTATCTGCAAAACATACACAGAAAAGGGCCATTTTAAAATAATCTAAAATACATCTTTTTGTCATCTGAATTTATTTTTCTTAGTAGTTTATTTTTTATGGAACACAGAATTGAAACTATTCTAGAGGCATAAACTACCCTCACTTGGAAGTAAGATATAGGGAAACTGTTTTATGGCAATTTTCAAGTGCAAGCATTTCCATAAGTGACATTCAGAAACAAAGCCGACTCTGAATGTAAAGACAGGCTGGTCCAGACGGACAAAATTAGAAATGCTTTAACAACTTGAGTGAGGACTCTTGCCAAAAAACACCTTTTCATACAGCAGAGGTAACATGCCTGGCAGACAGGGCCACCTGGGGTGGGTGGGGGGAGTGTTGGGGAAGGGGGAACGGGGGTGGGGAACAGAATTCTGATTGACATATTCACTTGCCCATCTTGACATAAACATGTGCCCCTCCCCTTTCTAAACAGTGCACATTGCCAAGAATATAAACACAAAGCTCAAAGATCTTAGGCCTGGTTGGTTTTGCTTTCTTTGCATCACTTAGCTACCTACCCTACATAAAAAAAATAAGAAGAAGAAATAAAAATATACATACACACATATGCAGCATAATAGAAAAATACAAATTTATGTTACTAAACAGAAACCATTAATGTTACATGCTTACCCGTGAGAGATGATCTACATATATGTAACCAACACTGCAATCAAGTTTCACTATGCCAGAATTATCTGTTACTTCACAGTTTATTTGCTTTTCTTCCTAAAATGAAAAAAAAAAAAAAAAGGACTGGTTTGGGTAGGCAGGGAATAATAAATTTATAACATATGTTTAGGGATGGTTTTTGAAAAGCAAGTCATCCTGGGAGTATTTACTTTCCTAGGAAGCAATTTTCTGTTTACTTTGGGGATAAATAGAAATACAAATAAATGGTGTTAGTGTGTGTATGTGTATGTGTGTGTGTGTGTCCTAGTATTCAGATAAATTATCCATAAAAATCTTCTAGACATGTAGTTTTCATTCACTTTAGTATATTTCCCATTTAATCTGCAGTCTAATTCCTTGGACAATCAGAATGAAAGGGATCCATAAGGTCCCTGTTTGTGTCTGATATGTGAAAATGTAGAAGCTACTTAAGCACAATAACTGTAATCACAATTGGTACATTTTAAAAACATATTCCCTGAATACCTGAAGTTTTTCAGCTCTTTCTTTTGAAATAAGTTCCCAATGCTCTAGAAAAAGGGGTTAATAGATATTTGTGAGAGGTCAAAGGCCTGGCGCAAAAGCCGTTGGTGTGAAGAGGTGGTCCCTGGATATGATGTGGGTAAATTTGCTAAAGGTTAGAGAAATTGGGAGACAGTAATTGAGCCTTTTCTCTGAAACCCAACCTTATTACTATCTCACTGATGAGTTTAAGTGCCTGTGACTGAGGCACAGTGGTAAGGAAAGGTCTCCGACTACTCTAAATTCTTGTGGGAAAAGTAAAACTTGTCTAAAACCTGGCTTGACAGCAGGATTTCAGAATCTATGGAGGACTGCTGCCTCTGACATATTAAAAGTCCTGTGGGAAGCAGGCAGAGAGCAGGCACTTAAAATGCAGCACAGTAACTCTGGGTGCCTGGCATAGAGGACCAATATTGCTCATGCAAGGACCCCAGACAAGAAGAACACTGTCAGGGCGCCTCACTGGCCTTCTCCCATAGCACCTGGGAGTGGGAAGCTGATGCCTTTGGACTTATAGATCATAGAACTTTCCTTTCTGGTCAAGGGCATGGAGGGGGTCTTGATATGATTGAGAGTCTAAGTGATAAGTCTAAATATTAAAAGTTATGGTGTAATACCACTTATGGTTTTTTTAAATTAAATAAAATACATGTGCTTTGTACTCTTGTGATTTTTAGTACTTACCAGTTCTAAAATCTTAATGAAATAAAGACCTGTGGGTAGCTTGACATGCAGAGTGGTCTCAAATGCATCGTCTCCAGCATTAAACAACGACACATTCAACATTAACGTTTTCATGCCCCCAACAGCAAGGTAGGTTTTATTTTCATATGGCCTAAAAATTAAGTAATATTCTTTAGTTCTTATTTATAAAATAAAGATCCTATCTTTATGTCTATAGTATTTATGCTGAACGTACAATATTAATTTAGAAATAATACCAACCATGGGAATGAATCCGTAAGTAGTTTTAAATCCATATTAAAAGGAATTCCATTCATCAAGTTTCAGAAAATATAAGTTGCTTATTAATAAAGAAAAGTCTGCTTTTTAATTACAATGGAACAGTGTTTATAGTTTATTTTTCTGCCTAACTTCTTCAATAATTTAAATATATTCCTCATTATTTTGAAAAGTTTTCTAAAAGCAACACAATTTTTACTTTTCTTTCAATCTTTGGATAGACATTGAACTAGCTGTTAAACCAAAAGCTTAAGAAAAAGAGAGAAATGGTAGAAAAGAAGAGTGAAAAAACAGAGGGCATGTTTGGGTAGAAGTAAAGAAGGCATGGTAAGAAAAGCTGTCCCCAGCAAGGGTGTGTCACTAAAATCTATTAGACTAGAATTAATTTCTGAGGTAGGATGGTCGAGCACCTCTACAAGAACCAGGCCAAATTAGAAATAAAATCACAGAAACACTCCACCATCCTGGGAATTATGAAGAGAAGACTGCTTTAAATCCAGACAGGTAAGTTCAAATTCTGGCGCTACTCCTGTTCTTTGGACTGGGGTGTCCTTCAGCATGTCTAAGCGTTGGCCACTCCGTCAGTAAAATTTAATATTCAGGTCTTGTACCTTCCATGAAATCCTCAGAATGTCTTAGATATGAGGAAATTTAGGCTTACGGAATTTATTCAAAGACCACAGTTCTAAAATCTCAAAGCAACTGCAGGTTTTTACACAGCCCATTTTCTTTCCCAGCAAGACAGAATAGCTTAATGCAAAAGAAAACTTTCAGTTACAACATGTTATGATTTTATAAGCTTTTCCCAAAGACGGCAAATTCTTAATTATCCAGTAATTTAAAAATTAGAAAAATTAGTTCAAAATAGAGAAGGATCTGACCCAAAGTAAATAATCAGGTGAAGATATTCCTAACAATAAAACAGGTAAATAGTCATCTAGCATTTTAGAAATTTGAAGTTTCTTCAGTGATGTTAACATTGTGCTGTTCTAGTCAATGTTTATATAAAAGCTTAGAATTTGAATAAATTACAGAACAGCACTTATTAGTTGTTTTGAGAAATGATTAAAGACAAAGAATACATAAGGATAAGAACATGTTTCAAAATTTCTGCTTTTATTTATTATTTGAAGATGCATGAATCACTGACTATAATTGAAAGTTCATGTATAATAAATCAGGTGTCATATTTGATGTTATATAAAATAACTAGAGCACATTTCACTCCCTCCTGTTCTGATGCAGCAAAGGACGTGTCTGTATATAAGTGTAAATAAATATAAGAGAAAGTTATGAACAAAGGGCTCTGGGAGTCCAGGGAAGGAAACCACTTTTGCCTGGGAGTAGTAAAGCGATATTGTCCTTTGATTTTCTATTAATATGATCATCTAGATTGGCTCTTCCAAAGATCTTTTTAAAAATAAATTCAGAAAAATGTCATGATTTAACTTGAGTTAATCTGGATTATACCCCTAATAGATCTCTGTTTCAAACTCTTCAATTGTCACACTGTCAGAGGGTTGTTTTCAACAAAGTAAACCAGACAATGTATGTGGAGTAGCCTAAGGGCTTTTGAGATGAATCTTAACTCCTTAGCTTAACATGTGAAGCCTCCAAAAGCTGTCCATGCCTCACTTTCCACTGCACTTTTTTTGGTTATATTAACCTACAAACAGGTACAAACCCATCATTCATATTCATTCCCTTTCTCTCTCTCTCCCTCCCCCTCTCCCCCTCTCCCCCCCTCCCTCTTCCTCCCTCCCCCTCTCCCCCCTCCCTCTTTCTGCCTTTAACACCTTCTCCTCTTCATGCACCTGGAGAACCTGTACTTGTTCTTCAAGATTCAACTTCAATACCAATGACACTAAGAAGTTCCTCCAGCTTCACCCTGCTCTGCATGCAAGGTGCAAGGTGCAAGGTGATGGCGCCCTCACCCCTGGACACATACACACCCAAAGGCACCCTGGGTGCCTCTATAACATAGTCACATTCCAATGTCAAGTCTCTGTCTGGTTCCCCTCTCCATGGACTGTTTTCTTGAAGAGAAGTTACAAGATCATGATTATCACAATTTTTTCAGAACCTAGAAACACTGTATAATGTATGTAGGCACAGATGCAAGCATTGGACATACAAATGGGTCAGGCTACACTCAGAGAACATGTATTTTAAAAAAACCAGAAAATTACTAAGTTAATGACTTCTAAGTTTATGAAACAATATAATTTTTGTCAAATTATAGCTGGGTAGCCATGTTTATCTGTTCTGTGAGGTACATAAATTTCAAATGTTTTGCCAAGATAAGAAAGTAAATATCTAGCACTATCACATTCATGTGATCTGTGCCCCACCCCGAAACTTCACATTTTACAACTCCTGATAAACCTACTGAAGGTATCATCATGTGACCCTCGCAAAAACCACTACTAGAAATTGTTCATTCAGAATTATTAATTCTCATGAACCTGAGAATGTATATACAAAATTATAATTTTGGACATTTTCCCCCACTTCTGTAGTTCTAAAAAATATACCTCCAAGAAACGGAACAGTTCACTTAATACTTGAAAGTTCTTCCCCTCTTATTTTGATTTTATCCCCCTTGAAACTCAATTTGTTAAAGTATGTGTACGGAGAAAAGCATATAGCCTAAGTCTACAGCCCAATTTTTATAAACTTGAATACACTCATGAGACTGGCACCCAGAGCAAGAAAAATGTATTAGCTACACAGGAAACCGCTGTGTCCCCTTCCTCCTGGCCAGCCACTGAATTCATTTTTAGTAGTAAAACTGGTGTTGTCCATTTTTTTATATTTCATCTAAATGATATCTGAATAATCCTTTATGTATCTTTTTTTTTGTATGTGTCTTTTTCAACTCAATTTTTTTTAAGATTAATTTACATATCTGGGCATTAACTAGGCATATCTCCTTCTCTCCCTTTCTGTATATCTGTCTACCTTGGAGCATATTTAAGAAAAAGTTTTGTTTTTTTAAACCCAGGATTAATTACTTAAAATATCTGAATCTTGGTTTGATGATTAGCTTTCAAAATAGATTTAAGCAACAAAATATACTAAAAGGAACTATTTTAACATAAGAAAATAAAAGATATATAATTATCATAGAAAAATCAAGAATATCATAGAGCTGGTGAGTGGCCTGCAAACTGCTGCCTAAAGGTCAAATTCATACCTCTGCCTGATTTTGTAAATAAAATTTTATTCAACGCCGCCGCCATATTCCGCTCTTGCACTTCAATGACAACTGAGTAGTAGAGACTGAGATCTTAGTTCCCCAAAGCCTAAGATATTTACTGTCTCTTCACAGGAAAAATTGGGTCAGCTTCTGCTATAGAGCAATCTAACGGATGAGAACTTAAATACAAACATAATATTATACAACATAATATTTACTCTAAGTAATTAAAAGTCACTCTGTATTATTCTGACAATAGAGGCTTCACAGCTTCGGGTGACATAGAAGGTAGCCATCTGTCCTCAGAAGTCATGCAGTTTTAGAGAAGGGGATGCCTGGTCTTTTTAACTCCACAGCACTCTAAGCATGGAAGAGAAAGGAAAGAAGAGCACCATCTCTAGCTTCTGATCCTTGGGTTTGAGAAACTGGCTTCTGCTGAAGAATGTGGAATACCCAATAAAGCAGTAATCCTAAACTTCAGGGAGGAAGCATTGATGGAGCGAGGGTGTGTTCTCCAGGATGTGGGCAATGGATGGGACTTGTTCATTCCTGTTGCAGCCTTTGGGTTAAGCCTGTGCACGTCTGCTTGATGGTGTGTGTTGAATGGGAGGGGGGAGGTGTGTGGGAACACAGCCATCCTATATCCCTCTACTGTCCTGTAAAAATGTTATAACTGACGGAACCTGAGAGGTTCCAAAAGTGAACTTCAGCTTGACATTAAAGTCTAATTAAGACTTGTAGAAGAGCTGCCTAGAAATAGACGTTTATAAAATATTCTGGCTTGTAACCAAAGCATTAGTCACTGAACACCTTTGGGAAAGAAGTTGGCACTTCGACAAGCAACAGAAGGTGAAAGCACTGCATAAGCAGCCAGGTTCCAAGACAACAGCAGATTAGAGCGAGACACACGTTCACATTTCTGCAGCGAGAAGTGTCTTATTTTCCATTTTTAAGCAATTCCGCTAGATTACCATAATTACAATTCTACTTTTTGAAAACGTCCATCTTACTGTATCTTGATTCATTAACAAGATGCCACAGGAAAGATGCCCACCAGCTTTCTATGTGAGACACAATAAAGGACCAGGTGCACATCTGGAAGTGCGACAAGACTGAACCAGAGCTGTCCCGGGGACTCATAGTTCATTCTTCATTAAAACATGCATAATGCAGACCTGAAATTTACAAAGCAGCCTAGAATCCACATAACTTCCACAAATCAAGGTACTGTGTGCATATGGAATCATAACTTAATAAATGAAAGAGGAAAAATAGAAAAATGATATACTGCAGCACCTGGCTTTATGTTTCTCCCGAGTGAATGATATAGTTTTATTTTGAAGGAAGTGTTTGTGTCACTATAATATACTTTACCTTGATGAAATGAATTAGGGCTTCATAGATAACTGTTTTTTTAATAAAGATGCTAGAATGAAATATAATGTAAACTGATATCACACTCGCTTTGCTTTGTCAAGATATGCGATGCATTCATTTAACCAAGTAGCCTGCTGCCAGGGGCCTTTAGTCCTAAGTGAAATTTTATCCTCTGTTTTGCTTTATTATTAACATAAAGAAAAAAAATAAAATACTAAAAAAATTCTTGCCTACTGGAATAGATCAGTTAATTGTCATTTAAGAAGATTTTAGTGAATAAAATTTAAACTCACTGAGGTCCAGGGGAGGATAGCAGAAGAGCTTAGAAGAGTGGACTAGCAATGAGCTTATTTTAGTGCAAAAAGCACATGATTACTCCTGCCAAGGCTCTGTGATGTGAATGAGGCATGTTTTTATTCGAGTTGCTTTTATAGGTGCTATGACCATAGTGACAGGTACTATTTGTTGCTTATTGTCTATACAACAGTGATTTCCAGTATTGCAGCTAATAGAACCTGGGTAATTCAGGTAGTAGGTAGCATTCCCTTGACAATGCAGAAGACAGCTTGTAGGTCAGCTTCAGAGAATGAATCATGGCTGATCTAATATGACCATGATGACTCCATTTTCCTTCAATCATGATACGTTCTGGGGAAAGCACATGATGAAGGGACCTGGTTATTAGAATACATCTGATAAGCCTTCCTTCTTGGGAAGAAGCCTCAAAAAGAAAAAAGCACTTTTGGTTTTGGACCTTTTCTTCTTTCTGGGAACCTGTGTGCTGCTGCAGCCATTCTGTAATCATGAGGGGAAAAAAAAATCGAAACAGGAAAGATTACCGTCAATGTCTAATCTCTGGTAGCTACTTGCCAAACCCGCAATAATCTCCTCTCTGCAGACTGTTTATTATATAAAATAAATTTCCTTATTGTTTAAGTCACTATCAGTCAGGGATTCTGTTACTTGCAGTTAAAAGTGTTTTCAATGGATATGAAAGTGATCGCTTAGGGAAAACTGGCATCACTTACCCTAGGCGTGTGACAGAACTACAGAAGAGCAGTATTATCATTTATATCAGCAATCTATATGAAAGATTTGATTTTAAAACTTCCAATATGATGGCTAATATCTGCTGTTATGTTTGTAATCTTCATAAAATCTTATTTGTCCATCATTATTTTGCAGTGAAAATCCATTTGAATGTGGATTGTTATCTTGAGAGTTTAGACACACAGGAGGAAGCCTTCACTTAATGAAAAGATGAGATGTCGTGCATAAGTACCGTTTAGTGTACTGTTGGCAGTTTATTATTATGGGCTTAAGAAACACATGTTCTTTACAGAGTAAATACATTTACCTAAAACAGCTTTATGGATCTGGGGCACATAAACACATTAATGCTAGTGGAGTTATAGCCAGGAGATCTGTAAAGCATATAGTCTCAGCTTATTGTTACTGAGAAGGGACAGAGGACACCAAAGTAGGAGAGGCATATTTTTGCTTGATAAAGTATAATTTACTAAAAAAATGAAAAGCAGTTTGTCAGAAGCTTTCACTGTGAGTCTGAAAACTTAAATTAGAAGAGTTTTCATTTGAAATTTCCTTAAATCATTTATCATTTACCAAATAGAAATAGCTTGTAACTTTCCTAATTGATGCAGAAAGCCTGATGCCGGCTATTCACACCAGCACCGGCGCCCCTTCAACCCTCCTAAGCCCAAGGACCTCACAGCCAGCAGCATCCTATGGAGGAGGTCATTTGGGGAGCCAAAAGCCAAAGATCTTCCAGACGGGGGAAAATGGCGGTGGCAGACAGATAGGAGGAGAAAGGGATCAGGATGGCATGTTGGAGACAGAAGGAAAAGGTGTTGAGAAGAGGAAATAAAAAACTGTCAATGCTTCCCGCTTCCGAGGGACTCAAGCAAAGACGGAAAAGCACCTCCTAGGCTTTAAGTTGAAGGTTCGTCTCCAATGTATTCTCTGACCCTCTCCATGGTTAAGTAAAAAACGTTAACACACAAAAATTCTTCAGTTGAGCCTATTTGTTGCCTTAACCAATAACTCTCATTTGGCTACCACTGTGCTGAAATTTTTTTTGATCTTAAAATTTTCCAGTGAGTCCCCTTTTATCCCACCTTTCAGATGCTGCCTCCTATGACCCCTCTGAGACATGCTATTTGATCTCCAACTTGTGCTGCAGCACTAAATCCACCTTTTTACAATCTCCATTGATTATTTGACCACAGATGTGGTTTTCCTCTTAGTTCTCTAAAGATCCCTGTTTGATCTCCGAAAAGGGTTCCTGTGCTTAATAGGTTCTTTAAATAAAATTGCAGTCCAAGATTTGATCCTTAGTTTGTTCCTCTTTAAAATTCACACTTCCACCTACTGGGCAATCTCACAAGTCACCAATATATAGAGGAACTTCCAAATACGATCCTGATGTAGATTTTAAGTGGACAGTTGTATACAGAAGTCTCCCCAAATTCAACACGTCTCAAACTGGACTACTTCTTTTATATCCCAACCTCCAAAAAACAGTTTATCGTTTTCCTGCTGTATTAACCCTCCATCTCCTTCCATTTTTTTATGTTCCATAAATGTAAAATCAACCCTCAACTTGAAGTATGGACTCTCTCTGGTCTTCATTTTCACATCTTCCGCCTGATGTGCAAAACAACTTGAATACAGGAACTATCGACATGATACAAGACCTCAATCGTTCATTCTTTATCATAAAATAACACCAGCAACCAATATTTATTTACTTATTACATGCTAGATGTGGTTCTCAGCATATAACATGTATTTTCTTTTTACTGGTTCCCCTTCTATGAACTTAGAAGACCACGTTGGTTATGTCTTTTCATGTTTATTGTATATGTATCATTTTGTATAAAAGTTTGAATAATAAGACCAGTTTTCCAGGTGATAAAAAAAACTAAGCATTATGTAGTAAATCCCTGTTTTGCACCCAAAACTCTATTAACCAGTACTTATAAATGTTAAAACATACCTACAAGTATGATAATAATATCCTAAGGCACAATTAAATCCTGAAATGCATTCCAAGTTATCAATAAAACATTAAAACATGCTTCGTAAAGCCTCAGTGCTAATATATTCTCATTCTTTGAAAAATGGTAACTCTTGAATGACAAGTAGATTATTTAATCTCTCTCAGTAAGACACTGTTCCTTCATAGATATTTAAAGGATGCTAGTTCCCAAGGGTTATCCCTTTCTCTTTGGAACCCATATGCATGTGCCCATTGCACCCTCTTCATGAAAAACAGAGAAAATGCTAAACTTACTTCAAATATCCAATTTTTCCCGAAACCTGTAAGTCAGCAGAACAATTTTCATGGGCACAAAACCTTGCAAAGTTTATCTGGAAATAAAATTTGACAACATTTTGAATTTTAGTTCAATCAGTAGATATATTTCTACAAAGTTAAGAAAAAGGCATCCGTGATACATGAGGAAAACAAATTTAATACATCAATTGGTAACTTCCTCTTTTATCCCCGAGGGTTCAATTTGAGACTCAAGTCAGTAGATTCAAATGACTACTGCAGTGCTAAAGAAACTTAGTGCTTCCAGAGGTAGATTTAAAGCCTAAATTTGTTAACTGAAATAAGGTTTGGGTAAAGTTAAAGACACTATACAGATAACTGGGGAAAATTAGCTTCCAAGATGTTCTTCCTCAGTTTCCTTTCCAGTTTTTGGTGCTATAGTTTGATCCCACTTATTACACATAAGCATGACACTTGTTTATTTTGGCAGATGGCAAGATAGTGATTTTATATTCATTGAAAATAACTAAATGTAGAAATTAAGACATTTTACTTTGAGGAAACATTGAAAAAAATTAAACGGTAGTCAGTGGTAAGGTGCCTGAATTTATTTAACTCTGAATATTTCAGTAGGATCCACAAGGTACAAGGGAAGACCTAAAGGATAAGATGACTAAATAAAAAATTAAGCAGAAAATCAGAAGAAAGGAAAACATCAGAAATGGGTGAAAAAAGGAAAGGTGCAGAGAATGAGAAATCTAGAAGGCCAGAGAAGGAGCCAGGCAGAGGCAGCAGGAAGTGACTGGGGACCGTCCAATGGCCTGCCAGACCATAACCTGCCTATGTGGGGCTGGTGGTGGGGGTGGCAGGAGCTGAAGTATAAATCTTCCTCTAAATGGTTAAGTAAATGCAACATTTTCCTGCCACTCTTATTTGTAAAGCAAGATGTTCTGAGAACCAAAGTGTAGATGAATATAATTTGCTCCTAAATTATTATGTTCATTTGATCTAGTATTTTAGACATTGGTGAATATTAGCTTGAGTATCTAAAGTAGTTTAGGACAATTTTCCCTGGACTGCATATGAATCATACTTTTAAACATCCCTGTTGTCTTTTATATTCTGAGTTCCACTGTGTTTCAATGAATGCTATTACCATGCCCAAACTCAATTGACAATATCTTTGTGCTGCTGGACAGTAAATGTCTGAACAGCAGGATTCCTGAGAATAAATGCATCATCAGTGAAACTGAAATATTTTCAGACAACTTCGAAAAAATCAGTTCACTAATTCGAATCAGGATCTATCTTAAAATACGGTTGATCATGGGATGTGGTTAAAAAAAAACATATACTGAAATTTTAAAAGGAGAAATTGTTGTTTAACAAATTTGTGTTTATAAATGAATAAAACTCAGCAAAGGAATTGGATTAAGAAGACAAAGGGACTCCATGGGTAGGGAGAAAGGGAGGCATAGTGAGAGAAAGTACGACGGAAAATGAGCACACAGAAGACATGGAATAACTAAGCCAGAACTACAACTTAACTTCCATTAGGGTTCCTCTCTAGTAATATATTTTCCTCACTGGCAAGGCATCGAGGAGAGAAAATTTACTTTCTATATAGAGGGGAAACTACTGCTGTGCCTAAGTGCACATTTATTCAGTTCAATACCCTAAAAAGGATATAAGAAAATAAACATAGAAAACAAGACACACCATAAATCTGTTTTGTAAAAAACTCCACAAAAGGTTTACAAAGAATTCAAACTTCCAGATCATTGCTTCCAAATTATGCCATTTAAAAAACTTCTTTAATTAGGTCACCCAGCATTTTAAACAAAGAAAAATACCCCTACCGTCTTTTTAATCATGTCCTTTTCTTTCTTCTGCTGAAGGATTGGCTGAAGTGGTGGGAATTCCTCCATGCTACGCTTACTTATCACATGATGCCCAAGGTGATAAGCAGCTTGGATTTGAATGGGGGTGAGGATATCCCGGACATCTTTCTAAGGAAATTAAAAACCATGAGAATTCATAACAAAAATAGCCATGAAATAAAAAGATATATAAAACTTCTTTCCTGCATAAGAGCAAATACAACACGTGGAAGCAAAAGCTAATCCTTGTCTTTTATCTAAATTGCTTAAAAAACAGTGGAACACAGGGCTAGGAATGTGACTCTGGTGAGAACACGTTCGTGCTAGTGTGGCTTAAGACTTCAGTTCCCAGAACCATGCACAAAATGCAATGTGTCTATTTTTCCCACAGCAGAAGCATTCATATTTCTTATGAGAAACACAAAATGAGTATAAAATGAAAAACTATAACCATACAATAATAGTCACAAAAGTTTGTATTTGAGTATATTCCATTCTATTTTCTATACATTTTTTATAACTTGGCATAACAATATAAATATAATTTATTTATAAACTCTTTGTAAATTGTTCAAAATTCTAATGAATAATTTATTTCATCTAACATGACCCTATAATGAACTTGTAGCAAAATGTAACTCTCAGTTTTTTTTAATCAAGTTTTTTTTTTTTTACATCTTTTGGTAATATTAGAATTCAAACTGACTCATCTGACTCCATATTTAAGATGAAGCATTCTTTTTTGCCATTCATTCTGAACGTCTTCCCATTATACTTTCTAATAGATTATGACTACTATATATAAAAGTTATTAGTTTTATATATTTAATTGTATATGATAGCCAGTTTATTGAATTTCATTATTAGTTACATTTTAGGTTTATTGTGCTTTTATACTTCAGAAAGAGGTTTTGAATTTATATTTATCAATTATATAAGAATTGTAATGCATCCAAAATCTATTCTGCTCTGTATGACATTCTTTTAACTTTAATATCTACTAGTTTCTATACAGCATTTCTTATCCCTATTTCTACTGATAAGTGGCCAAAGTATTTTCGAATGATTAGATTTCTAAAATGTATTGTCTGCTGTACTCAAAGAAATAGCTCTTGAGTTTATTATAAAATTCTTTTATTTTAATCTGTATTTCTATAAGCAAGCACAATTTCTCTTTTAAAAAATAATTTCCATGAACTTAAAAATGATTCTTTTCAGTTGATTATTCCATATTCTCTGCACTAAAAGAAAACATACCTATCAAAATTACTTGTTAACACACATATGCATAGTGAAATAATCCACTAGAGAATAACTTTGATAACATTCAGGATTCAATTAAATAAGCGCTTCACCAGATAGTAAAGGTGTTCTGGCATTTCCAGTCTATGGAAACAAATATACAGAATCCAGATGTACGACAGGGCATCTGTTAGCACTTGTCTAAGACCTCTCTAGACAGAAATGCAACTTCCAAAGTATATTGAACAAAGCAACTTTCTTTTTCTCCTCATCTAAGAGGGTAAGCTAATAAAACTTTACTAATAAAGTAATCCATGAAGATTTATAACAATTCAATTGACAAATTACATGAAATGGGACATGGCAACAAATCTATAGAACAAAATCTAAAGCACAATGAAAGTTGAAAGTATACATGATCTCAGAATTTGAGAGGGCAGGTCACAACCAGCAAATACATTCCACAAACACAGGAGTTAGTGTGGAAATTCTGTGCAGTCTTTATTTTTCTTGTTGTTATAATTGTTACTATACTTGGAAGATAATTTGAAGAACTAGTCAGAGTTTAATATATTTCATACAAACTTTAATTTTTATCTAACAATTTTCATTTAAAGATCAGTTTGACTCCAATTTTCAAATGCCCATGCCTATTTCAACTCACAGTTTCTCTTTTCAAACAACAGATTCAATAAAGTCCTTCTTGGCCATTAAAAAAAAAAAAAAGTCCCTAGTGTTTTCACCCAGGCTAGACGTATCATCTTAAACCACACTTCAGGTTTACATCTGTGCTTGAGTTCCTCAGGGTAGACCCATAATGCTATAACTGACAAACTTCTTACTGAGTAATGTCAGTGGACCAAGATTTCAGGTCCACATGTCCAATCATTTCAAGATTGGAATACGCCTTAAATATCACTGCCTAAAAGCAAATAAAATAGATTATTTTAAATACACCTCAATCAATAATCCCTAATGGATAGGAAAAATACCAATGGTATAGATTATTGTATTATTTATATCTATAGTAACTTTTCATTAAAAATCTAGGAAATAAATTAATAAAGATGACACATACTACATAACAGACTATACTTATTCCATGTCTTTATATAATTCTACACAAAAAGGATGTAATTTTTCTTCTCTTCACATTTGTCTTATCAATAAATAAAGTGGCTGAAACTAAGTGGTCTGGAGGTAGAGAACTGGTTTTCCAATCTGGAGACCATTACTTATTTGTAACTTTGGGCAAGTTACATAATCTGTGGCTTGGTTATCTCATCTGAAAATGGAAACAATGATAGTAATAATACCTACACTATATGCTGTGACTATTAAATGACCATGTATACAAAATAGTTAGACATGGTAATTATTACATATATTATGCCCCAAATGTAGCTATATAAGCCAACTAAGGAATTACTGAATTTATTTCTTAAAATAAGAAACACTGCTGAACATTTGGAGGAAATAAGAAAACTGGACTATTGCCAACCAATGAACATTAAATAGAAAATAAATTAAATAGCAAGTATTAGACTTCTATTAATTAAATGGTATCTGGAAGATCAGAGCCTGAATTAGGGTACTCAAGGTCTGATTACTTTTCCATTCTTCTGCATAGAGATACTTTTATTAAATTACTTGATAAGTGATCATCTCCACACGAAGCCTTGACCATGTAGGAATGCTGCAAATCAAGACCCAAATCCCAAGTTATCCACTTGTGAAAATGGAACAGCTTGAAGCCCTGAGTATTACAACAGCAAACTTGATTAAATTATTCCCCAGGTGTAGGAGCTAGACAGCCACTGATTCTCCCTCCACATGTCCACTGTTTTAATTCTTCTCAACAAGCTTGCATTGACCAAATCACATGTTATCTAATTCATACTAATTTTCCACAAGGTCTTCTCTACATCTGGTGTATATTACTTTCATTATCCTAATTAGCTATTAATTATGCTTTTCTTGCAGTATATAAAATGTACGCGCATTCTTGCAAGAACTGTATTTGATAGGTGGAGATATTAAAGTTAAATAAGTGTGAATATCTAAGGACAAAAGCAGTAATGTCAAAAATGTCCCAAAGTGACAAAGTATTTGGGAGGGGAATATGTAGATTTGCTTAAATTTTCTAATATGGGCAGGCATGTGCTAGTATATTAAAAATAATGGAAATTCCATGCCACATTTTTATGGACAATTACATAAAGCAGGGCACCCACAAGCATGCAAATTAGCACATGCCTGAAATTACCCAAAGTCTATCTTCTTGCTTGACTTTCATGGAATTCTATGTCTGGTCAATTTGTAAGCTAAGCTGTAGGCCCTAGAATCTCCTTCTGTATTTATATACTGAAGGAATTTATTTAAAGGTTGGGGCCAAAGTATTTATAAAATTTTAAATGGAAAATGATGTCATGGCACCAATATTTTAAGGTATCTATTCACTGGTCTACTGTGTGCAAGAAAAGTTCTGAAGCTACAAAACTACAAGTCAGAACCCACATCTCAGTCTATAATCCATAAACCCAGATGTGTGAGAAATAAATATTCTAACGTGCATGCACAAGCACAGAATAAGGAAGGCCACCTAATAAATATAGATGGTTTTTAATTTTAAAAGATGGCTATATTTGTATTCATGAAATGCCCCTTTAGTGCCAGTGTGGTGCTGAGCAGGGAGAAGGGGAGACGAAGGCATAGGTTGGAATCTAAGCCAGAACCATCACATGCAATTCTAACCATTTTATCTGGTAAGTGGTTCAGATGCTAAAGAGCTACTGGGCTTTAGGCACTACAACTTCCTGAGAAAAGATCCCTCTGAAGACAGTTGCCCCGACATTGTACCAATAGAATACTCTCAGATTTTTCCTTGTAGAATTCTTTAAATAGCACTAAGAACACAGAGTCCACAATTTGTTAACTATTTATCAAGTTTCTGCCCTTGGTAATAAATTGTGCTAGCTCCAAGAATACAAGAACACAAAAATGTGAAAGACATAATCCTGCTTCAAAGACTTAACATTCAACAAAATATTCAGATGTGCCAGAATAATCAATTCTCTCCTTGAAAAGCATAATATCAGTAGTTACTTAGCTTATTTGCACTTAGATTTTCAGCAGAATATGTTCATATATAAATCAATTCATCGTGTGCTATGATTAAAAAATAACTGCTTTGCAGCAAACAGTACTTCATTAAACTATGTGCATATATTGCTCAATAATACAAGCAAATAGGCCAAGTAATAATATAAATAAAATACCATTTACTAATTAAATATACATTCATTTCCTTGAAATTATGGACAAGATGAGTTTTAGAAGTTGTCTAAAGACTTATATAAAAAATAAAGTATTTGCATTTCAGAAACTCCAAGTTTAGAAAATTAAGAAATGAAAGAGAAGAAAAGAATAAACCAATCTACTACACAGGTAGGCATGTGATTTCATGATTTTAATTTCATGGTTTTAACATGCTAAGGCCACTGAACTCACTGGATCTTGGAATACTGATGGGGAGAGGTAATCCTGAACCAGAAACTCAGTTAAATATTTCTAGCTTTAATGGAAATGTTGCAGACAAGCAGTCTGTTGTTTGGTACTTCAAGCTAGCATCTTTCTCTTCTGCAAATATCAGTGACTATTTTAATGCAGAGATTCCACCAAGATCAACCAAGATATATCATCTACCAAAATATTAAGAGAAATCTCCTACCATGGCTGTTCTAAAATTTCTAAACACTGTTGCAAATTGTTTCTTGGGTTTCCTTAAATCAAAATAGCTTCAAAATTATCTTGTCTTAATAAATCTGATAGATCTAATAAAGTAAATTTGAATACAGCAAAGGCAGATTCATTTTCATACACTTATA